TTTCTTGAAAGATGATGTCTAGGTTCTTTTTTTGATCATGGCTTTCAGATAGTCCAATTCTTTTTAAATTATCTCTCCTGGATCTATTTTCTAGGACAGTTGTTTTTCCAATGAGATATTTCACATTGTTTTCTATTTTTTCATTCTTTTGGATTTGTTTTACAGTGTCTTGATTTCTCATAAAGTCACTAGCTTCCAATTGCTCCACTCTAATTTTTAAGGAAGTATTTCAGTAATGTTTTTTCTAAAAAAATTTTCATACGAAAACAGAATGAGAATAGACCCTTAACAGAAGCAGCGATGGAGAGATGGGGCTTGGGGATATTAATCTCTCCTTTGAGAGAATGGGAAACATCTAAAACTGGGACACTAGCTCTATTCTCAACAGAGTAACACATACTGATAGACTCCCTGCCCATGCCCTATTTAGCTTTCTTCAGCCTTGATCAGTAACGTGTTGTTTTGATATCTCAGTAGGCTTTCATGCTTTCTTGGTCATGGCTCAGTCATGCAGGTTGTATCAGGGGTGGCAGCTTCTTGCCCCCTCCTAGAAGCAGCAGAATTCCAACTCTCTCTGTTGGGAGTTCTCTGAAGGTCCTGATGACTACCTTTAAGGGTACTTGCATATACTTCTTGCCTCTTGTGAGATTTCAATTTGTTGCTCTTCCATTGAACTTGGAGGGGAATATTTAATTGATCCCCAGTAGAGTGGAGGGGAACCCTTGAAGCCTCTGCCCACCATCAGATATTGTCTCCCATTTCCTGTTACATTCCTGAAATCCACTGGGGGTGTTGTCCAAAACTCTGTCCTGGGCTTTCTTCTCTTCTTTCTTTCTGTGACTTTATCAGTTCCCCTGATGGATACAATTATTCTCTATGAAGATGGCACTCAGATCAGTAGTCTCTTCCCTGACCTTTAAAGTCCCTCATGACCAAATGCCTATTGGACATTTCCAACTGGACATCTCACAATCACTTCAAATTCAACATGTCCAAAACAGAACCCATTGTCTTATCTTTACACTCTCACACCCACACACAATTCTCCCCCTTCCTAACTCCCCTAATTTTGTTGTGGGCACCACCATTCTTCAAGTCACCCAGGTCCGAAACCTCACAGGCATCTCTGGCTCCTCTTTTTCTCTTGACACTCCTCCCCTTACTTCTTTATCAGTTTCCAAGTCCTGTTGATTCTATCTCCACAATATCCCCTACATTCATCCCCATCTCTACACTGTTACAACAAGCCTTATTTGAGACCTCATCACTTCTCTCTTTCTCTCTTGGACTATTTCAATAGATTCTTTTTTTTCCCAATAGATTCTTAATTGATCCTCCTGCCTCCATTCTTTCCCTTTTCCTATTTATCCTGCACACACCTAACACACTGACATTGCTAAGTAAAGCACATGTCTAATCATGTCATTTTTCTGCTCAAAAAGCTTCTTCGGTTCTTTATTGCCTCTAGGATAAAATTCAAGCTTCTCTATTTGATATTTAAAACCCTTCACAATCTGGCTCCAACCTATCTTTCCAAGCTGATTTTATATTATTCCCCTTCACATCCTGTGTGTTCAAACCAAACTGAACTATTTGCTATTGCCTGTACATAATATTCTATCTCTTCTCTCAGTACCTGTGCACAGTCATTCCATACCTGGAATGCTCCCCATTTTCATTTGAGCCTCTTGGGAGTCTTAGCTCCCTTCAAGACTGAGCTCATGTGCCACTCCCACCACCAGCAAAGCCTGTCTTTCACACACACACACTTCTTTATAGCCCCTCAAAAATAACTTTGTATTTACTTAGATGCATACATGTTATATTTCCCAATAAAATGTCAGCTCCTTGAGATTAGGGATTATTTTACTTTTGTCTTTGTATTTCACTTCCTAGCACAGTGCTTGTCACATAGTAGCCATTCAATAAATTTTTGTGGAATAAGATTGAATTGAATTGAAAATTCAAGCTCTTTGTGAACCAGAAATCTGTGAAAAAGGGAGAATCAAAAGCAGGATCACACTGAGTAAATACAACAGTAACCTGCATTACAAATTAAAACTTTCGAGGGCATGATCGAAAAGAACTTTGGTTACCTTTTGATCCCACAGGCATAATAATCTCTACCAATAATACCAACACTCTTTAATCAAATTAAACCATCAAAAAGTGTTTTTCTATGTGTCCAGAACTGTGCTAGACACTATAGAATAAGAAAGAAAATAATTTAAAAATAGGGCCCTTGCCAGGAAAAGAATTTACAGTTTGGTTGGGTAGATAAGACATAGCCTTTTGAAACAATGAATAAGGCAATGTTATGTACAACCAACCAGTAAGATATAATCAGTCTCTAAACTGGGACAATTAGAGAACAGGGCAGTATGAACCAAAAGACGTACAATGAAAAACATTTTTATTTCAAATGTATCATTTCTATTACACTAAAAATGTCTTCCCAATAAGTAATTTCTTCAAGAGAGCTTAAATAATCTGCAAAAGCAACAAGAAATTATATGAAGTATCTAATCTCCCCCCATTCCCTTTCTTAGCACCAGGCTTTCTCAATCCCTATAATTCTCATCTCCTTTTCTTTTTGCCGCAACAGCTTTTGTTTTTCCCTTCAGTTCTTGGGTAGTGCAGTGGATAAAATGCTGGACTTGGATTCTCCATCTATACTATTTCACTTGGTGATCTCATTGGCTCCCACAACATCTCTATGCATGTAATTCTCAAATATACTCATTCAGTCCTCACAACTTGCCTATTGGACATCTTAAATTGTTTGTCCTGCAGATATCCCAAACTCAACATGTCCAAAATGGAATTCATTAGCTTTTCCTCCAAATCCACCCCCTTTCCAAACTTTCCAATGCTCTGGAGGGGAACACCTCCCCTTCCAGTCACCCAGGTTCAAAACCAAGATCTCATCCTCAACTCTTCACTATCTCTCATCCCATATCCTCTTCATTATCTCAGCAGTACCCCCCCAATATCCAACCAATTGTCAAATATTGTTATTTCTATCTTTGTAACATCTCTCATATATGCCGCCCACGCTCCTCTGACACTGCCATCACCCTGCTTTAGGCCCTCGTCAACTCATACCTACATTATTATAGCCTGCTAATGGGTCTCCCTGCCTCAAATCTCTCACCTCGCAAATCCATCTTCCATTTAGTTGTCAAATTAATATTTCTGAAGCACAGGTATGACCATGTCATCCACTTGTTCAGTAAACTTCAATGGCTCCCTGTAACTTCCAGAATCAAATATAAAATCCTTTTTGGCATTTCAAGCCCTTTGCAACCTGATTCCCTCCTATTTTTCCAGTGCTCTTACACCTTACTCCCACAAACTCCTTAATTCAGGAATACTGGCTTTCTTGTTTCTTGAATAAGGTATTCTATCACCCAACCTGGTCATTTTCACTTGCTGTTCTCCATGCTTGGAATTTTGTCCCTCCTCATCTCCACCTCATGGCTTTTATTGCTTCCTTTAAGTCTCAGCTAAAATCCCATCTTCTGCAGGAAGCCTTTCCTGATGCCCCTTAATGCTATTGTATTTCCTGGGCTGATTGTCTCCAATTTATCCTGTTTGTAAACAGTTGTTTACATGTTGTTTCCTGAGCTAGCTCCTTGAGAACAGGGACTGGCTTTTTCCTTTTCTTGTATTTCCAGTGCTTAGCCCAATGCCTGGCATATAGTAGGTATTAATAAAGTCTTATTGACTACTAGTAGAAAGACTTGAGTTTGAATCCTGCCTCAGGCACTTTAATAGCTGTGGGACCTTGTCGAAGTCACTTTCTCCTTTCTCAGCCTCAGTTTACTGATCTGTAAAAAGTGAATAATAATAATAATAATAATAGAGCCTCACAGGGTTGTTATGATGATCAAATGAGATATGTAAAGAGTTTGGAAGGGAACTGTATAAATACTAGCATCACTGTATTTAACCACTCATTTAACAATTATTTCTTGAAGGAAGGAAACAGCATTTATTAAATGCCTAGGCACTGGTTAAGCCCTTTACAAGTATTATCTCATTTGATTCTCACAACAATCCTTCGAGGTAAGTGCTACTTATTAACCCTATTTTACAACTGAGGAAATTGAAGCAGAGATTGAGGTAATTCACCTAGAAAGTCTCTGAATCCAGAAGCACTGTACCACCTCACCACCTTAAATGCTTGCCAGGACCGAAGTGCTTTATAAAACTGCTAGGTAGGAAGGGTTACAAATATGACATGTCGTTCCTTCCTTCCCTACATCCACACTTGGGCAGATACATACATTAATTAAAACAAAACAAAACAAAAACACAACAATTTGTTTTCATTAATGTGTGTACTCCCGTGTATCAAATTACAATCCCTCTCTTCATTAGTAGATGATATTCATGAATTACTGTGGTCAAAAATTTCGTTAACAGGTGGCTCATTTCCTGGTAATAAGGCCCCCGCCCCCGCACACAATGCTGTGCTGATCCTGGGACTAGAGACAGCCCTTCTCAACCTCGGTCAGCTCGGGCCAATAGCAGGAACAGGTCCTCAAAACCCAGGACCCATCACCCCTACTCCAGGGCCAGGCATTGCCAAAGTGCTAAGTGACTGCGTTCGACGATAATTTCTAGGAGAATTAGGAAAGGAGGATTCTTTATTCTTTATTATTTATTTATTACTCTATTCCTGCCACTTTCCGTGCCTGAGGTCTCAATTCCATCGACAAATTCTCGCCTCTGTCTTTTTAAAGCGGAGCCCTTGACACTTTACCAGCTTCAGACATGGCCACCCAGACTTCACACGTCCGGCAGTCTTTGCGCATGTGTTCTAAATGGGACAACAGGATTGGTGGAGATGAAGGGGATGGTAGCGTCACAAGATGGCGGCTCTCATGACAACGGCAACTACACTTCCCGACGTGCTTTGAAGCTCGGGCCCGAGCGGGGCCGGCGGGTGATGGGGCTGAGTCGGCTGCCGAGGCCGAGTCAGGGAGAGGGGCCAGAGGCAGCAGGCCTCCGGAAGGAGGAGGATGGAAGCGTGGCGCTGTGTGAGGAGGGGCTACAGCCGCTGTGCGGTGGGAAGAGGCCGGTCAGTGTGGCTGGGAGGAGGCGGGGGCGGGGGCGGCCCGAGGTATGTAACCTGAGGCGGGGCAGGGGCAGGAGGAGGAGGAGGAGGAGGAAGAAGAAGAAGGTAGAGGCCGCGGCCGGCGCGGGACCTGGTTGAGGTGAATAAAGGAAGACCCTCGGGCGCTGGGGGTGGAGGTCGGGGGAGGCCCGGCACCCGGGGCGGACGCGGATGTGCTGACGGCTGCCCTCTCTCTCTTAGGCCGCAGTCCTTCCGCTCCGATCCCCCTCTTCCCCAGCCCGCCCCCAGACCCCTGCGGCGCCTCCTCCCCAGTCCGCCTGTGGGGGGGCAGGGAGGGATGTAGGTGTGAAATTACTCTATATTTATTTGTCTGCGTTGTGTGGGACGCCCCCCTCCTCCCCGGCACCCCCAAAACTTCAGCTCCGGGAGGGCCGGGGCCCCTCCAATCCCCCAGCCTGACCTGGTGCCTGTTAATTTAAATAACATCCTTTTGGTTTTGGTGTGACACCTCACTCTATTAACATTAAATCTATTAATTTGTTTCTGTCACAGAAAACTTCTGGTGATAGGGATGAAAGTCTAAATCTCGTGTGCAGGTTGTTTGTTTTTGTTTTTGTTTTTTTCGGGGGGGGGCGTTTTATTTCTTTTTGTGTATGTGGTCTGTCGTTTCTTTAGAGGTAGGGAGCTCCTGAATAGGAAACATGCGTCGAGTTCAAATGAGGCATTAGATGATTTTGTGACCCTGGGCAAATCGCTTACCTGCTGTCAGCCTCAATTTCCTCATCTGTAAAATGGGGATAGTAATAGCACCTAGCTCCGTAGGTTGTTGTGAGGATAAAATGAGATATTTGCAAAGTGCTTTGCATATCTTGATGCTGTAAGTATTACACAAAGCAGCATCTACTTTGCAGTTAATAATAATAATAATAATTCTAGTTAGTAGTTAAGCCACTTGCCCAGGGTCACACAGGTAGTGTATGAGGTGGCAATTTGAATTCAGGTCTCAATTTCAAGTAAGTCTCGAACTCTGTCCACTGCCCCAACTAGTTGCTTCCAGATTTCTACTCAGAGAATTGTGGGGGAAACTGAGAAGTTAAAGTACTTGCTCAGGATCACAACAGCAAAGGGTGTCAGTGATGGAATTTTGATTGGCATGGTGTATCAGATTACTTTTAGAAAAACTGCTTTCTAAATAGTTTCCAAAGTAGGATAGATTCCTTAGTTTCAGTCGTTATAGATGTGTTTATTATGTTCAACTTTGTTTAAAAAAGAAACTTCTTAGGATCATTGCTGTCACAACCCTCTGGGAGCCCTAGCACCAGGTTGGTACCGTGGAAAGATTATTGGATTTAGAGTCTGAGGACCTGAGTTTGAATTGTGACTGCTATTTACTACCAATATGATTTTGTCCAAGTCATTAAAAATTCAAAGGACTTGAGTTCCTCATCTGTAAAAAAGAAGGTTGAACTAAATTACCTGTAAGGTAGAGGTGTCACATATGGCCAGGCAACTCCTGAATAGGGCTCTCCAGATTAAAATGTAATTGGGAAAAGTTTAGTAAAATAAATAAAAATACAGTACAGCATAGATAATGTTAATTTTTTATTTTCTAAATCAATATGTAGCCCATAGGGATCTGTTTTTATTTGACACCACAGCTCTAAGGTCCTTTCCATTTCTAAATTTATATATTCTGGTACCTGTTCTTTAGTAATTCAGAAGTTCTTGATGTATGTCTAACATTGCTTTGCATTATGGGGAATACAGGAAGCCTCTGTGGTCAAGAAATTTATATTTAGTTGAGGAGAGGAGGCAAATAAATGTAAAGTAACCAGCCAAACAAGACAATATGCTAAACAATAATAATAATAGTCTTTATGTAGCACCTACTATGTGTGGAGCTGTGTTAAGTACTCTATAAATATTATCCCTTTTGATCCTCGCAACAACTCTGGGAGGTAAGTGCTGTTATGATCCCCAGTTTACAGTTGAAGAAATGGAGGCAAACATAACTTCAATGACTTGCCCAGGGTTACTTATACAGCTAGTAAGTTCCTGAGACCAGATTTGAATTCCTGGCTCTAGGCCCAGCACCCTATCCACTGTACCACCTAGTTGCTTCAATGTATAGATGTGTGAATCTGAGTAAATTGTAACTTCTTTGGACTTCTGTTCTCTTACTTGTAGTGAAGGAGGTTGGTTATATATAATGTTCCTTCTAGCCTAAAAATTCAAGTTAAACAAATGTTTGAATGTATGTCTTGTGTATAGCATTGTTCTGAGTGCAGGGATTCACAAATGGGGGAAAAAAAACAACCATAGGCATTTCTTTACCTCAGGGAGCTTTTTATCTAATGGGAGAATGAAATAAGTCCATGAAGTGTGATAAAAGGTAGAATGTAATAAGAGTGAAATTAGACAAAATGCTATATTATGTTTCAGGAGTGATCAATTCACTGTGGAGTGGAACAAATCAATGTTGAGTGGAAAAGGCAACTTGGGCTTTGAAGGAAGAGCAGAATTACAGCAGGTGGAGATTTTTTATGGCAGGAGTTTATTTTAGCCGTGCTGGCTACAGATACATAAAGGTGGGAGAGGACAGAAAGAATTGAGTAAATAGCCAGTAGTCATCCAGCTTGGCCAGAATGTAGAGTATGTTACCTTTGTGAAGATCAGCTAAAATGGACTGCCACATGTGGGTTGGAGTAGATGAACTGAGATCCTTTCCAGCTCTCAAATTCTGTGATTCTATGATGCCCTCTCCTGACTAGTCTTCAGGGAAGATTAGATATGACTGACTACTTGTTTGGGGTTGTTATATGATTCCTATAGAAGTGTAGGTTGGACTAGAGGGCTTCTGAAGTAACTTCCAACTTATATTCCAGAAAGGGAGTATGATAAGACTGGAAGGGTAAGTTGGCATTGAATTGTAATTGGCCTTTGGTTCTAAGTCAAGGAATTTGTGCTTTGATTTGATAGTTACAGATTTTTGAGCAGGAGAATTACATGGTCAGACCTGTACTTGAATAAATCATTAAACATAAACATTTATTAATCAGCTATGTGCCAAGCACTGGATGTTATTTTTGCATCTATGTAAAGGATGGCTTGGAGAAATGAGAGAGTAGTGTCAGGGAGGTCAATTAGAAATTGGTGTCAGAGGTGATGAGTGTGATGGTAGGGTGAGTAGAGAGAAAAGAGGTGGTGTGAGAGATTGTATGGAGGTACAATTGACAGGACTTCATTCTGAAATTTTGAATTTGGTTATTAGATTGTAGTAATTTAATGGTGTCAACAGAAATAGGAAGTTGGAGGAGGGGTAGGTTTTACAGGGAAGATGAATTCTGTTTTAGACATGTTGAGTTTGAAATGCTATTGAAATGTCTAGTCAGGCAGCTGGAAATGTCACACTGGATTTTAGTGGGAGGTCTGGTTTAGATGTAGATATTTGTAAGTCTCTGCGTTGTCATCGTTGAAGATTCCTGGTCTCCAGCTTCAGGTGAGAAGAGCAAGACTTCGCTCTGACTTTGAACATTCCTTCTCCTGCTGCACATGTCTGCTGAGGGAAGGCTACTAGGAGCCAGCTTCACAACTTACGTTTGTACCATCAAAGGCAACTTCCACCTCCTGCTGCCAGCCTGATCTCCCAACCTGGATGTGAAGAGCCTCCTGTGACAAGAGGATCCAACCTCTCTTTGACTTCAGGCCTTCTTTCTCCTGCTGAGCAGGTTCGACTTCCATCTCCCCTTGCCTAATCTCCAGTCTTTGGAGGGAAGAGTAGTGAAACAGGACCTCCCATCTGACCGTGTGTCTGCCATCTCCTGCACCATCTTGCTCTGTGCTTGCCTCCTGCTTGATCTTCAGCCTTCTCTGGGAAGAGGAGTGGCAACTTCCACTCAATGATGAACATTCTTACACCTGTTCATACCCTGCACATTACAATGATTCTCAACTCCTGTAGATTATCATCTAAACCTCATTTCCCATCTTCCACCACCTGATTCCTGTCCCCTTCAATCCTATCCCAAAGTCCCAACCAGATGCCACCCACAACTTCTACTGTGCCCTCTAGAATGCCTATTCTATAGGCAACACCTTTCCCTTCATCCTAAATCTTTTCATCTTCTATTCATTCTATTTTCTACAGTCACTGAAACTTGACTTCTCACTGATGATACTGCCTATTTGGCCACCCTTTCCAGTACTGGTTACAACCTCACTCATTCTCCTCACCTCACTGTTTGGGGGAGTTGAAATACTTCTCACTCCCTATTGGCACTTCTAGGTTCCCCCCCAACTCTGTCACTTGGTAACCTCTCTTCCTTTGAAGTTCATGCAGTTTATATCTACCACCCAATTAAAATCCTGGCATAGCTGTTGTCTACAGACTTCCTGGTCACTCTTATTCCTTCTTCAACAAGTTTGGTACATAGATCACAATTTTTCTCTCCTTCCCGACTCCTGCCCTCATACTTGAGACTTTAACATACATATTGACATTCCCTCAAACACTTTAATCACTCAGTTCCTCAACTTAACTCACTTCCCGTAACCTGTTCTTCTATTCCACCTCAGCCACACACAAAGATGGTCATAACCTTTAATCTTGTCATTACCCACAAATACACTACCTCCATGTCTGAGAATTTCAAAATCTACCTATCTGATCATAATCGATTGGCTTACCACCTCTCCCTCTGCCTTCCCTTACCAAACCCTAATCTTTATCTATACTGGGACCTCTATTCCTTGACCTCGTTCTCTCTCAGGCCATCTCCCTTTCACTTGCTACTCTCTCCTCTTTTCCTTATTTTGACCCCTTGGTGAACCAGTTGAACTTTACACTGTCCTCTTGAGTCCCTGGTCCCTTTATTATGTTACTAGTTGCACTTTGCCAATCCTTAGCCAATCACTGCCACCATCTACTGCCTTCATTCCTACACACACATGTGCCACTGAATGAAGGTATAGAAAAATCACAGAACTGTTATGACTGGGTCCACTACAAATTTATGTTACACAGCCCTTCGCTGCTTCAAGGCAATCCTCATACATCTTCCTTATCAACTTGCTATCCCATTCTCCAGGAGCTTACAGTCTAATGGGGGAGACAACATGAAAACAGTATATACAAGGCAAACTATGTTCAGGATAAATAGGAAATAATTAATAGAGGGAAAGAACTGGAATTAAGAGGGGTTGGAGAAGGCTTCCTGTAGGAAGTGGGATTTTAGTTGGGACTTAAAGGAAGCAAGGGAGGTCGGTAATTGAAGCTCTGAGGAGGGAAAGTGTTTCAGACATGGAGGACAGCCAGCCAGAGAAAATGTCTTCATCTGCGAGACGGAATGTCTTGTTCATGGGATAGCCAGGAGGTCAGTGTCACGGGATCAAAGAGTATGTGTCAGGGAGTATGGTGTAGGGAGACTGAAGAGATAGGAAAGGAATATGTTATGAAGGGCTTTGAATACCAGAGCATTATGTTTTTGATCCCGGATGTAATAGGAAGCCGCTAGAATTTACTGAGGTGACATGATCAGACCTGCACTTTAGGAAAATTACTTTAATGGCTGAATGGAGGATGGATTGGATTGGAGAGACAGGTAGACCCATGAGCAGGGCTGTTGCAATAATCAAGGCATGACGTGATAAGGGCCTGCACCAGAGTGGTGGTAGTGTCAGAAGAGAGAAGGAGGCATATTCAAGAGATATAGAGGTGACAGCAGCTTGGATATGGAGGTTAGAGATAGGGAGGAGTCCAGGATGACTCCTAAATTTCAAGCCTGAGGGACTGGGAGGATAGTATTGCCCTTCACAGTAATAGAGAAAATGTGTATATGGCTGGGCAGGGAGGGGAAGGGAAGAGTATTTAGGGGAAAGATAATAAGTTTTGTTTTGAACATACTGAAAGTTTAAGATACCTACTGGATATCCAGTTTGAGATGCCTGAAAGACAGTTGGGGATTGGAAGTCACCTGAAAGGTTGCAGCAGAAAAGGTACATTTGAGAATCATTAGCATAGAGATGTAATTAAATCTATGGGAACTGATGAGATTATCCAGTGAAATAGTGCAGAGAGAACAGAAGAGGGTCCAGGACAGAACCCTGAGGGCATGATCTTGGAGAAGGATCCAGCAAAGGATAACCAGGAGAGAATACTGTCCCAAGAACTTAAGAGAGAAGAAAGTGTCAAGGAGAGGGTAATTAACAGGGTCAAGAGGCTGAGTTCAGGGAGAATGAGGATTGAGTAAAGGCAACCAAGTGATCTTTTGTAACTTTGGAGAGTTTTGTTTCAGTGGAGTGATAAGGTCAGAAGCCAAGATTGTAAGGGGTAAAGAGAGAGAGAGAGAGAGAGGAAAGTGGAGACATGTATTGTTGATGGAATGATCAAGTGAGGTTTTTTTAAGGATGGGGGAGACGTGGACATGTAGGTAATAGGAAACGAATTGGCATACGGGGAGAGATTGAAAATAAGCAACGAGTGGAGATGACAGAGGAGGCAGTCAGTTGGAGAAGACTAGATGGGATGGGGTCACTTGATAAATTGATATTTTGATTCTCTTAATTGTGGCTTACCAAAATGGTAACTTAACTACAATATTTATTTCTTTTAGATATCCCATGTTACCCTATCACCTGCAGAGCCTGGGCAGAGACAGGATTACGCCATGGGATATTTCTCAAAGATTTTGCTGGAACAGACACATCTCTAGTTATATGAGGTGGCCTGGAAATTATTCTTGGGCTCCTTATCCATACTTCAGCAGTCAACATTGCCCAGTCAATTGGAGGCCACCTTGTTTGTTTCTACCTAATAGAAATCAGTTTCAGCACTGGAATTGGAGACCTGACAACTTTGCACATACATCTTTGTTTCACCTTTCTAGTTACGTCATGGACTCTGAGGGAGATAAGCCATCATCAAAACGTCAAAAAACCCAAGGTAAAGTTGATACACTGTGTCTTGGTGCAGAAATGACTTTTAGCTATTAGAATGAAACTTGAGATTTTTACATTTTACCCTGGAAAAAAAAATTAACTCTTGTAGGTGTTTGGGGCAATTTTGATTTTAACTGTATAGAATGCCTTTCTTTCCAAAATTGTTTTGATTTTTATGTTCATTTAAAAGCAACTAACTGGAGTAAAAGTGGAAGCCTGTGATTCCGTGAATGATATTTATTTGGGAATGAAAAGAAAAATTAGTATAGCAAGGTAACTCATAATTTTTTAGAAATGAATTGTTTGGTCTCTAAATTTGTACACTACACATTTCTCTTGCATCTTTTGTCTGCATGTATTTCCTAAATTGGATTTAGGGATTGTAATTTAATTTCATTTGTGCACATATTCCATATTGGGAAAGTTAGTTAAATTTTAGAAGTATTTTATTACAATTTGACTCATTTTGTTTAATTGCATTTCCCCAAACATCCTGATAAAGGGAAAATTTCTCGTGTAGTAGGTTTAGAGATGATCTTGTCCAACCCCCTCATTTTACAGATGAGGCACTTGAACCCTAGAGAGATTAGCTAACTTGCCCAGGATCAGAGTAGAAAAATTGTTTTTGTCCTATCAGATATTTCATGGGAGAATAAGGATTATCAGTCAAGAAAACAACTGTTATTATGACTCTCACTTTAAAGTAAAACTTGAAAAATTTTGCATAACTATTATGACTCTAATTGGCACTCTAAAAACTGAATCAAGCCTCCCACTTATTTTCCTCTGATCATGGTATTTCTCCTGACATATATAAATTATATAAACTTTTGCTACATGACTTTACTAGAGAGCATAAGAAGTCTAAGAACCATACCTACTATATCACAGTGATTCTCATATTGTAACAGATTTGGAACCTGAGCATTTCATGAGTCACTTTGGAAGGTTTGATGAAAAAACATGGTCAAGATCAACTTGTGTAAACTTTGCCTGACTCAAGCGTTTCTCTAATACTATCTCAGAGATTGGAACAGATTGCTTAAAAAAAAAAATGCAGAAAGGTTCCACAAACTCCAGAAGGTTCAAAATCACTACCATAGATCACCAGGTGGTGCTAACGAGAGGTTATGAACGTGGGTTTGCAAACTTTATAAATGGTTAAGAATTGTAAAATCCTTATTAAATTTTCAATATATGAACATAGATCTGCATCTGTATATACAACATTGTCTTTCATAGTTGAATAAGGCATTTCAACACTCTTGCTACCCATCTGTATGACTACAGGTTATAATATTCTTTCATGAACATAAAGCCTTGCTCTTTACCAGACTTATATCTGGTAAATATATCCAGACTTTTTGTTATTGTTCTGTGGCTAAACATACCAGAGGCAGTACTCAGTTTATGAATGAGTAGAATTCTAGAAGTTCATTTTCAAACTAATTGTTTGGACCTTTGAAGACACTTTTCCACAGAAACAGAATTTAAAATGGTAACTACAAAAGCCTATTTTAGTCAATCAACAAACATTTATTATGTACCTAGAACTGTACTGCTATCACTAGGGAGGGATACAAAGACAAAAATAGAACAATCCCTGCCCCCAAAGATTTTGCATTCTATTAAGGGAGACAATATGTACATGTAAATAAATATGCTATTTAACTAATAATGTAGGTAAATTCTAATATTAATAGTTCAAATTATGAATCCAAACAGTAGAGAAAAAGAAGAAGGGAGTTGACTTGTTTTTTCTCAGGTGCAGGACCATAGGCAAATTTTGAATAGACACAATTTGTTTCTGATATCCTATTCTGTGACTGCATACATTTTTAATTTAAATCCAAAAGAAGCAGTTATATTTGAATATTCCTATAATGGAGCTCCTGATATTTAAAACATAGGCTACTTGAGATGTGAGATTTTTCAGTGTATAATAATAAAGTTATTCTCCCTTTCCTCTCTCTACTTCTTAGGCATCCCATTGTGGCAGTTTCGTCTCGCTCTCTAATGACTGTTCACATCCTGAACTCTTCTTTTGGATTTCATCCAGATCTACTCTCCCCCTCACCCTAAAATGTTTCATATTCAAAACTTGTCTATCTCATCAGCCGTCCCCATCTCCAAAACCCTCCTAAAAACAAAACAAAAAAATATATCTTCCACATTTCATCTCAGTCACAATAAGGGAAAAATGATGTAAACTATTCTCCTAATATGTATGATTAACTACCCCCTAACCCACCCAGAAACATTCTGATTTTAAAGAGACGATGTTTATTAAAGACCTATAAAGGACTTGTTGGGATTTTAGGCAATACAACAGTGAAGTAAAAAAACTGGCGTGGGGGAAAAATTTGGAAGGTTGGAAAGGGAGAAGCATATTGCCCTCACTCTTGCCAGGAATGGATTGGTGGAAATTAGGGGGAGGAAGATTTAGGATCAGTGTCGATAAGAATTTCCTAAAGAACTGTCTGAAAATGGAATTGGCTATCTTGTGAGTTTGTTAATACCTTGTTACTAGAGGTAGCTACATAGGTTGGAAAATCACTTGTTTGGGGTGTTGCAGAAATTGATTAATGTTTTGGGAAGAGTATTGAAGTAGGTCCCTTCAGATTCTTATATTTTTGCTAAGTATTCCTCCAGTGTTAGCTCTTCTAAGATGTTCTAGAACTTCTACCCTTTCTTTGCTTTTGAACTCAGATTTTCTAAAAGTTTGAAATTCTTTCTTTCTTTCTTTCTTTCTTTCTTTTTTTTAATTCTTTCAAAACAACTTCTGTGGCAGCAGGGCCTTCACCAATGTAGAAAATGGGTCAAACAGTGGCAGACTTTTGTCAGATTGTTTGTGAGTCAGTGACTGCCTTTATTTGTAATAAGGCATATACTGTAAAAAGTATCTGTGATGAATTTTGTTTTACAATCATGTTACTAATACACTATAACTAAGTCCCACTATAGTCATGAAAGCATCCAATCCCTATAGATATAAATTCCCTTGTCCCTTTGAGTGATGGAAAACAAGCAGTATGTGCCCAGGAGTCTTCAATATTCACGTCAATCACAAAATAGTTGCTGGGCCAAGGACCTTGTCTAAATTATCTCTGTATCTCCTGTAGCCCCAAGGACAGTGCCATACACATAGGTGTATAATAAATGGTTGTCAAATGAGCAAGTCTGAGGTGGTACCCGCAAAACTTGAAGGAATCATCTTCTTTCCTCTCCACTCTGTAGATATAATGCCCTTGAGATGTCCATGTATGCTATAAGCACTGGCTCAGCACGGACAGGTTCAGACAGCATCTACCAAACACCCTCCAGGCTATGACCTCAGGGCCTCTATCCCTTATGGTCTTTGGCAGGGAGGGGAAAAGTCTTTAAGAGAATTCTGCTGAGTGTTTAGGGTGTGAATGCTGGATTCCTAGGACTGTAGTTTCCAAATTATTATAATGTTCCTTTTTAAGAAACTAAGTTTGTCCTAAACATGTTATTTCTTCTAACATTGGAACCAAATAATGATATTAGGTGGGATATACCTATAACTGCTACTGTTTGAGGCTGTGCCTCTTCATCTTGCAGGTTGCCTGATGACTTTATTGAACATAAACTACCACGTTTCTGTTTGCTTCATGCCAGATTGATCTGCCCACCGTGGGTGTTAAACCAGGACCCCGCAGCCATGCCACATCGCTTGACTTTTGCATTGGTGTGTCCTGATAGCCTTTCTTCTGCCTGGACTGATCAGAGTTACTCTCCTTCAGCTTAGCAAACAGCTACTGCTTCAGTGTTTTCATCTTTGCCGCCTTCTTTCCCTGTATCTTTCCAGGATGCCAGGCCCAGGAGCCATTCTGGAATGAAATCACTTGTGGATCATGGCCTGAGGAAATTTGGGGGGAGGGTTGGGATGGGGTGGGTTAAAGAAAAAAAAAGGATTGGAAATTACCATTTCTGAAACTAGTTGTGTGACCACAGATTCTCTGAGCTTTGGTTTTTCTTCATCTGTAAAATGGGCATTGTATTGACACTGCCTACCTCCCAGCGTTGTTGTGAGCATCAAATGAGATGATGTCTGTAAGGTTCTTTGCCACCTTTAGAGTGCTACATAATGCCAGGTATTATTATTTCTAGACTTTTCATTTTTCCAAGGTGCATGGTACCTAAAGGACCTACGTGCCTGAAAGGTCCTCAAACCTCTTTTCTCCTTCAGAACATCATTGGACTGGGCACTGCCTAGGTGACTGAATTTGCTAACAGCTTTCTCTAGTGTCAGGGAAGAATTGGCTATACAGCGTTATTCTAGTGATGAGGATGCCCTTAAGTCAGAATTCTCAAAAAGCAGAGAGTTTTATATATAGGTAAATGTGTTTATGCTTCTAAGATTAATTCTTTATATTCTGTCTACTGTATTTTGACAGGCGTGATAAAGCGGCATTGGGAATATCTCTGTCACCATAATAAAGAAAACATGAAGATCCTAGGAGATAAACATGTTGATCAAAAATATAAAGATGAGAAGGAAAAATTTGAGTTTTCAGTCATGTCCTATAATATCCTTTCACAGGATTTATTGGAGGATAACTCGTATCTCTATAGACACTGCCGAAAACCAGTCTTGATCTGGGGCTTTAGGTTTCCCAATATCCTAAGAGAAATTAAACACATGGATGCAGATGTAAGTGTACAGTATCATTGAACATACCTCATACAAGAAAAATCTGGACTCTAAACTTTATAAATAATTTCATTACTTAAATTGTTTTGCCCACATAGAATCATTCTTGGAGTGGGTAAGGAAGAAGTTTAATAACAGTTGTAAAACTGATTTTTTTTAAAAGGTACAAGACTTGCAGAAAGATATTAATGATATATTGGTATACTTAGCCATATACCTTTTCCAGAAGAGACATATGAAATAAATATACTCAAAAAACAAAATGACATTTTTGACAGGGAGCAATTAAAAAAATGTTAAGGGGTACTGAGCATGTACGTTCAATAATACATTAGTCAGCTAGCACTTACTGTGTACCAGGCACCGTGCTAATCATTGGGAATGCTAACAAAGGCAAAAAACAGTTTCTGTTCTCAAGAATACAGTATAATGGAGGAGACAACAAGATATATACAGAATAAATTAGAAATAATTTCAGAGGAAAGGCTTTTTGTTGAAGGTGGGACGTTAGCTGATAATTGAAAGAAGCCAGGGAAGTTAAGAGGCAGTGAGGAAGGAGAGCATTCCAGGCATGGGAGACAACCAGTGAAAACGATTGGAGGTAGGAGATGGAGTGCTGTGTTCAAGAAACAGCAAGGAGGCCAGTGTCACTGGATCACAGAGTGCATGGAGGGGAGTAAAGTGTGAGAAGACTGGAAAGGTAGGAAGAGGCTAGGTTACGAAGGGCTTTGAAATCCAAACACAGGATTAAAAACCAAACAAAAGGATTTTGAAAGCCAAATATCAGAATAATTGGAAGATTGGGATTTTCATGTAGCTGTAATTCCAGATTTTTATCTTAAGCAAGACAGTTGATTTGCTTTTAGAGACTGTGGTGTGTAACATGATACAGCAATGGTAAGAATTTTTTTTTTAAGATTTGGGGCATACACAGTAGTAATTAAAAATATTTTTTTGAAAAACAAATGTAATTCTCATATTAATATCTTTTAAAACCAAAGCATTTTCTTTGTTAAGTCTTAATTTTTAATAGTGAGTGAATCATTTAAGTGTATTTTTTTGGTTCATATAAACTTAAGTTTGACAATTCTTCAAATGACCCCCTAAAAAAACCCCAGCTAAACCTGAAGTTTTCACATTAATTTCTGATATGATTAAAAAGGTAAATTCACAACCAGTGGAGGTAAATAAAAGGAATTATGACATAATAGTAAACTGATAGTTTAATGGAATGGATGGATATTTATAAAAATATAAATTGCCCAGATTCTAGAATAGGAAGTAGAATGCTTTGGTAGCCCTATCTTATAAAAATAAATTGAACTATCCATAAATGAACTCCCTAAGAAAAGAATCATAGGATCAGATAGATTAACAAGTGATTTTCTAACAAACATTTAAAGAACAATTAATTACAATACTGCATAAACTTTTTTTTTAAATAGATAAAGAAGAATTCTACCAAGTTCTTTTTATGAGGCAAATTTGGTTTTGATACCAAAACCAGAGAGTCAAAACAGAGAAATAAAACTGTAAACAAATTTCCCTAATTAATGCAGAATTTTAAAATAAAACACTAGCAAGGAGATTATCACAATATATCACAAAGATCCTATCATACACTATGACCAAGCTGGATTTATACCAGAAATATAGGAGTGGTTCAATATTAAGAAAAGTATAAGCGTAATGTTGACCACATTAGCAACAAAGCAACAAAAATCATATTAGTAAATCAATAGATGCAGAAAAAGATTTTGACAAAAGGTAATACCCATTCCTGTAAAAGAAAACACTGGAAGGCACAATAATAAGCAGAGCTTTCTTTAAAACATTTAGTTGTATCTGTCTTAAACCAAAACAAACATTATCTTAAACCAAAACAAACATTATCTTAAACCAAAGCAAACATTATCTGTAATGGAGATAAGCTAGAAGCCCTTCCAGTAAATTCAGGAACAAAGCAAGGATGTCCATTATCACCATTACTATTCAGTATTGTATTAGAAATGCTCATTATAGCAGTAAGACAAAAAGATACTGAAGGAATCGGCATAGGCAATGAGGAAACAAAATTATCACTCTTTGCAAATGATGTGATGGTTTACTTAAAGAATCCAGAGAGTTAAAAACTAATCAAAACAATGAACAACTTTAGTAAAGTTGTAGGATATAAAATAAACCCACACAAATTGGCGTTTTTGTATAGTACCAACAAAACCCAGCAAAAAGAGATAGAATGAGAAATTCCATTTAAAATATGTAAAAATATAAAATAATTGAGAGTCTTCTTGCCAAGGGAGAGAACTATGTGAACACAGTTACAAAATGCTTTCTCCACAAATAAAGACAGATTTAAGTAATTAGAGAAATATTAATTGCTTATGAGCATACTGAGCCAATATAATAAAAATGACAATACTATCTAAAAGAATTCACCTGTTCAGTAATGTACCAATCAAATTACCAAATAATTACTTTATAGAACTAGAAAAAATTCGTAACAGAATTCATCTGGAGAAGCAGAAGGTCAAGAATATCAGGGGAATCAGTGAAAAAAAAAACAACCCAGAAATAAAAAATGACAAGGAAGGGGGCCTAGTAGTCCTAGATCTCAAATTATACTACAAGGCTGTAATCATCAAAACAGTTTGGTTCTCTGTTAAAGGTCTCATTTCTAAAATACATCGGGAACTGAGTCAAATTTGTAAGAATAAGAGCTGTTCCCCAGTTGTTTAATGTTCAAAGAATATGCATAGGCAGTTTTAGGAGGAAGAAACCAAAGCTGTCAATAGCGTTGTGAAAAAATGCTCTAAATAATTTGAGAAATTTGAATGAAAATAACTGAGGTAATACCTCATACCCATTTACATTGGCTAAGATGACAAAAAAAGGAAAATGGCAATTACTGAAAGGGATGTGGGAAAATATATACAATAATGTACTGTTTTGATGAAGCTGTGAACTAGTCCAACCATTACGGAAAACAATTTGGAACTGTGCCCAAAAAGCTATTAGACTGCACATACCTTTTGACCCAGAGATACTGCCACTAGGTCTGTACCCCCAAAAAGATCAAAGAAAGAGAAAAGGTATCTGTATATACAAGAATATTTATAACAGCTCTTTTTTGGCAGTAAAGAATTAGAAACTGAGGAGATGTCTATCAGTTGGGGAATGGCTGAACAAGTTGTGGTGTAGGAATGTGATGGAATACTATTGTGCTGTAAGAAATGAAGAAGGAGATGGTTTCAGAGAGACCTAGGAAGACTTATATGAACTAATGCAAAGTGAAAGGAGCAGAACCAGGAGAACAATTTATACAGTAGCAACAATATTGTAAAAATAATCAACTTTGAAAGACTTAGTAACACTAATCAACACAATCAACACAGTTCCAAAGGACTCATGATGAAACATGTTGTCTTCCTCCAGAGAGAGGACTGATGGACTCACAGCACAGATTGAAGCAAATTTTTTTTTCTTTTTCTTTCTTTTCTTTGAACGTGGTTAATGTAGAAATTTATTTTGCATGTCTGTACATATTTGTAGTGGGTTTTTTTTTTAATTTTTCTTGCCCTCTCAATGGATGAGAACTAGAGGGGATGGAAGAGAGCAATTTGGAACTGAAAATAAAATAAAATTGATTAAAGCTAAAAAACAACAACAACAACAACCTAATATGGCAAGCATAACACTTTGGAAACTTATTTTTAATGATCAAAGAAACATAAAAATTTTCTTTCAGCATCTTTACTGATGTGTTGAATTCATGTTACTTTGTTTTATTTTCCTTCCAGATTCTTTGTTTACAAGAAGTACAAGAAGATCATTATAGAAAAGAGATCAAGCCAAATTTGGAATCATTAGGTATGGTATAATGTTTAGCTAAACTTATACTTCAACAATTTAGAAATATTAGATTGTGACAGTCAAAATAAAGCTGTACATAGCATGCTTGGGCAAAAAAAAAACATTGCAGGTTTTCAAAACTATGGCACCATTTATTTAAGAGATATTTGATATGTTAAGTATATCAAAGTGACGATGTTATACTGATTTCCATTTTTCAAATTGAAAGGTCAACATTAATCTTAAAAATAGTGGAATAGCACAGTGTATTACTTCTATGTTTTTTGTTTTTTGTTTGTTTTTTTTTCCTTGTTTAGGCAGTTGGGGTTAAGTGACTTGCCCAGGGTCATACAACTAGTAAGTGTCAAGTGTTTGGTCTGAGGCTGGATTTGAACTCAGGTCCTCCTGACTTCAGGGCCAGTGCTCTATCTGCTGTGCCACCTAGATGCCCCCTACTTCTATGATTAAAGCTAACAATACTAATTAAACTTTATTTTTCATAGGATATCATTGTGAATATAAAATGAGAACAGGAAGGAAACCTGATGGCTGTGCCATTTGCTTCAAATGTTCCAAATTTACTCTATTATCAGCAAACCCTGTGGAATTTTACCGCCGTGATATACCCCTATTGGACAGAGACAATGTTGGACTGGTATTACTCCTGCAGCCCAAATTTCATTGTACTGTCTCTCCTATATGTGTAGCTAATACACATCTATTGTATAATCCAAGGCGAGGTGATATTAAATTGACTCAGCTGGCTATGCTGTTAGCAGAGATTTCCAGTGTTGCCCATCAGAAAGATGGCACTGTCTGTCCCATCATTATTTGTGGTGACTTTAATTCAGTTCCTGGCTCTCCACTCTACAGTTTTATAAAGGAAGGAAAATTGAATTATGAAGGACTTGCCATAGGAAAAGTAAGTACTCTCTTTATATCTTTTTTTGCTATTTTTTTTGCTATATTTTTATAAAAAGTTATTTATTTATGCATTCTTTTCTTTTTAAATTTCCAAATTCTCTCCCTTCCTTCCACCTCCTCCTACACCTGCTGAGAAGGCAAGCAATATGATATTAATTATACATGTGAAATCATGCAAAGTATATTCCCATGTTAGCCATATTCCCAAAAAAAGCAAGAAAAATAAAGTGAGAAAATTATACTTCAATTTGCACTCAGGGTTGATCTTTCTTTCTCTGGAGGTGGATAGCATTTTTTCATCATGAATCCTTTGGAATTGTCTTGGATCATTGTATTGATCAGAGTAACCAAGTCTTTTCATAATTAATCATCATTACAACATTGCTGTTACTGTATGTGATGATCTCCCAGTTCTCACTTCACTTTGCATCAGTTCATATCATTTTTGCCATGGTTTTCTGAAACCACCTCCTCGTCATTCCCGTAGCACAATAGTACCCCATTATAACCATATGGCATAACATGTTCAGCCATTCCCTAATTGATGAGCAACCCTTTGATTTCTAGTTCTTTGCTACCACCAAAACATCTTCTATAAATATTTTTGTACATTTTTCATTTTCTTTGATCTTGGGATACAGACCCAGCAGTGGCATTGCTGGGTCAAAGAGTATACATAATTTTATAGCCCTTTGGACATAGTTCCAAATTGTTCTCTAGAATGGTTAGTCCACCAGCAGCTCATTAGTGTACCTTTTTTTCCCCTCATCCACTCTAGTATTTTTCATTTCTGATAGGTATGATGTGGTGCCTCAGATGTTTTAATTTACATTTGTCTGATCAGTAGTGATTTAGAACATTTTTTCATTTGACTGTAGATAGCTTTGGCTTCTTTCTCTGAAAACTGCCCATTTATATCCCTTGACCATTTATCAGTTGGGGAATAGCTTATTTTTACAAATTTGATTCAATAAGTACTCAGTATATATTTAAGAAATGAGGTCTTATCAGAGAAACCAGCTGTAAAAAATTTTTTATATACTTCATTGTCTATGGCACTTTTTAGCATAAGATAGTTTCTCCAGTTATCTCTTTTAAATAGGTCTATTTTTGCTTTTACTTTGTCTAAGAGCATGATTGCTACCTCTGCTTTTTTTTTTTTTACTTCAGCTGAAGCATGTTAGATTCTGCTCCAGCCTTTTATTTTAACTGTGTGGATGTCTTTCTGTTTCAAGTATGTCACTTGTCGACATTATATTGTTGGATTCTGGCTTCTAATCCATTCTGCTACCTGCTTCCATTTTATGGGTGAGCTCATCCCATTCCCATTCAGAGTTATGATTAGTAACTGTGTATTTCCCTCTATCCCATTTTCTTCTCTTTCTTTCTGTCTCTGTCTCCCTCTCTGTTATGCTGTCTGTCCTCAAAATTACCTGTAACCACTGCCTTCCATAATCTGCCCTCCCTTTATCATTTCCCCACTCCCTTTTCTCTTATCCCTGTCCCCTCCCACTTCCCTATTGGGTATGTTATATTTCTATACACAACTGAGTATGTTTGTTCTTCCCTCTTTGAACCAATTCCAATGAGAGTGAGATTCAAGCATAGCACCCTCTCCCCAATTTCCCCCTTCATTGTAAAAGCTCTTCTTTGTGCACCTCTTTTATGTGAGAAAATTTTCCCCATTCTACTTCCCCCTTCACCTTTCTCTCAGTGCATCTCTCTTTCTCACTCCTACATTCTTTTTTGGGAGATTATCCCAACATAATTGATTCAGAGCTGTGCCCTCTGTCTATGTATACTCCTTCTAACTTCCCTAATAATAAAGTTTTTAGGAGTTACATGTATCATCTTCCCATATAGGAATGTAAACAGCTTAACTTTATTGAGTCCCTTATGATTGCTCTTTCATGTTTATCTTTTTATGCTTTTCTTGAGTCTTCTGTTTGAATGTCAGGTTTTCTATTCAGTTTTGATCTTTTCAGGAGGAATGCTTGAAAATCCTTTATTTCAGTATCTAGGTAGGTTATTCTTGGTAGTAATCCTAGCTCCTTTGCCTTCTGAAATATCATATTCCAAGCCATCTGCTTCTTTAATGTGGAAGTGGCTAAATCTTATGACTTCCTGATATTTGAATTGGTTTTTTTCTTGCTTCTTGATGTATTTTATTTTTGATATAGGAGCTTTGGAATTTGACTGTAATATTCCCAAGAGTTTTCATTTTGGGATCTATTTCAGAAGGTGATTGGTGGATTCCTTCAATTTCTATTTTACCTTTGGATCCAAGATATCAGGGTGTCTTCCTTGACAGTTTCTTGAAATATGTCTGTGTTATTTCTTTGATTGTCCCTTTCTTGACCTATTTTGTCATTTGTTTTTTTCCAATGAGACATTTCACATTTTCTTCTATTTTTTCATTCTTTTGACTTTATTTTATTGTCTCTTGATGTGTCATGGAGCCATTAGCTTCTAACTGTCCAATTCTAATTTTTAAGGAATTATTTTCTTCAGTGAACTTTTGCACCTCTTTTTCCATCTGGCCAATTCTACTTTTTAAGGAGTTGTTATCTTCATGGGATTTTGTACGTCTTTTACCATTTGGCAAGTTCTGTTTTTTAAGGTGTTATTTTCTTCAGTATTTTTTTGTGCCTTTTTTTTACCAAACTTTTAATTCTCTTTTCATAATTTTCTTGCATCATTCTTATTTCTTTTTCCAATTTTTTTCTCTATCGCTCATCTCTTTTTTATAATCTCTTCCAGGAATTGTTATTGGATATGTGTCCAATTAGCATTTTCCTTTGAGGCTTTTTTGGTAACTGTTTTCATATTGTTGTCTTCTGAATTTATGTCTTGGTCTTCTCTGCCACTGTAGTAGCTTTTTATGGTCAAGTTCTTTTGTTGTTGTTATTGTTGTTGTTAGCCCATTTTTCCAGTCTATTTCTTGACTGTGAACTTTATGTTAAAGTTAGGCTCTGCTCCCCTGAGAGTAGGGAGACACTATCCTAAGCTTCAAGCTTTTTTGTGCTGCTGTTTTCAGAACTAGGTCTGGGGGTCTGCAAGTTTTTGGTGCTTCCGTGGTGGTATGACCGTGGGAGAGGTATGGTCACTGACCTCTAGTCTGTGCTCTGAGTCTTCACCCACGAAGGGCCCTTGATCCCTTATACCCACAAATGCTTTGGAATTGTGACTAACCACCAGTGCACCTCTCTGCCCTGTCACTATCACCCAGAATTGCTTATGGTCAGTAGAGTTGCCAGTCAGCACCAGCTGTACCCATTACCAGCAGATGATTCCCTGTAATCTTTCTGACCAGTTGTTCAACCCCCTTACCACCTCTGGTTTGAGAACTACCAAAGCTGCTGTTGCTGCCGTTGCTCCTACTTTGTGTGTGTGGGACTCCAGGCTGTCTTCTAAAACGGTGTCACAGACTTCTCTTGCCAATCTCTTAAGTTTTCTTAGGCTGAAAAATGGTCTCACCTTGACATTTTGTTAGCTGTGCTACTCTAAGATTTGATTTGAGGCAATATTTGAAAATTATTTGGAGGGGAATATTGGGAGACTTCAGCTGGATGACTACCCCCAGTGTGCCATCTTGGCTGATGACTATCTCTTTATATCATTAATTATGTTATAAAGAATTGGTGCCAAGTTACTGGGAAGGGCATTTAATTCTGTTCCTTTTATCTTATGTCTTTGTGAGGGCAGGGGCAATGTGTCTTGAAAACCACTGATAATCCAGTAGCTTTCTTGTCAACAATTTTGACCCTTCACCAGAATTGTTAACAAGTAGCCAGATTGGTTAGTTTGATATTCTTCATCCTAAAGCTGAGCTTTGAAAGAAATTAGGGATTCTAAGGTGAAAGAGAGGAAAGAATTCAGTCTAGGCATGAAAGATAGCCTGTGATGAAATATTGTGTGTGAAAAACAGCAAGAGGTCCAGATTGACTGTCCTGAAAAGTGCATGAAGAGGAAGTAATGTATAGTATGACTGGAAAAGTATGTTAGAGGCACTGGGTAATGGGCTTTATATGCCACCAGAGGAGTTTGTATTTGATCCTAGAGATAATATCTATTGGAATTTATTGAGCAAGGGAGTGACATAGGGGCCTCTGTGCTTTAGGAGTATCACTTTTGTATTTTTTCGGAGGATATATTAGAGAGGGGAGGAATTTGAAGTGAGGAGACCAGTTAATTGACTATTGCAGTAGTTCAGAAAACTAGTGATAAAGGTCTGAACTGGGGTAATTGTGGTATGAGTGGAGAAAAAGAGACGGATGCAAAATATGTGGAGAAGTAAAATCACTTGGCAATTCTTTAGCAATGTTGACTTAGAAAGTATGAGGAATTGAAGATATGAACCTAGAATGGCTGGAAGGATGGTGGTGCCTTCAGTGGAAATAAAGATGTTTGGAAGAGGGTTTGGTTTTGGGGAAAAGCTAATGAATTTTGTTTTCAGCATATCGAGTTTGAAGATACCATGTGACATCCAGTTGGAAATGTGCAATAGGCAGTTGACGATAAAGGACTCTGAAGTTTAAGAAAGAGACTAGACCTAGTTAGATATATAGATCTGAGGGATCATCAACATAGAAAATGATTGCATCCATGAGAACTAATAAAGTCACGGAGAAGAGAAGAGGGCCCAGGACAGAGTCTTGGGGAACACACACAGTTGGAGAGTGGGCTATAGATGGTCTTCCAGCAAAGTAGACTTAAAAAGGAGAGGAGAAAGTAGTGACAAATGTTGTAGAGAGGTCAAAGTTTTAGGATTGAGAAAAGTTCATCAAAAAACCAATTAAGAGATCCTTGACAACTTTGAGGAGAGCCATTTCATAGCCCAAGTGATAAGATTGGAAACCATATTACAAAGGTTGAGAAGTAAGCAAAAAGGAATATATTTAACTCCTCAAAAAACTCTTTTAGGTGTACATTTTGAGAGATGGCAAATCAACTTTGAGTAAATCCTCAGGAATTAAGAATGGAAGCTATAATGTAGATAAAGAAAAGAAAAAGAAAAGGCATTGTACAGATAAAACTACCACGTTTATACCTTTTTTAAATCATTCTCATATTTAAAGAATATGTTACATGGGATAGAGGAAAATGTTGACTTTTCAAATGTAAAAGTTTAAGTTATTTCTTGATTTTAAGCAGATAAATTTTTGAGGTGTTAAGCCATTTCACAAGGTGTTTAATAAGGGTTACTTTTCCCATTCTGAGATTCAGTTTCATGTTACATACTTTATATAGCAATTTCTTTGAAATTAAAAAATAACTATTTATTTAAGAACCTTAACCAAAGTCTTGAAGACCGCATGCCTCATCCTGACTTGATTATCTGTGGTTCTTAAAGGCTGTGCCTGCTGAACAAAATTTTTTTCAGATCTGAACCATTTAGGCTTTCACTGTGGTTTTGTTGATAGATTATATGTCTGTCATCCTGAGATCATCCTAGCTAAATTCAGAGAGGTTAATCACCGGAAGATTGGCCAACACTTGGTGATATTTTTTGGCCATACAAGCTCATAAAATATTTATTGTTTACTGAGGCATAGGGGATGGTGCTGGTGGAGGGAGTACCTACCCTGTTGAAGTATCAGATCTTTATTAAAGCATTAATAGTTTGTTGGAATTTTGTTTTAGGTTTCTGGTCAGGAACAGTCTCCTCGGGGACAAAGAATTTTGTCTATTCCAATATGGCCTCCGAGCTTGGGTATTTCACAGAATTGTGTCTATGAGATACCACAGGTAACAAGAGTAGAAAAGGCAGGTAAGTTGTGACAATACATTAGGCCCTCTTTGTGTGTGATAGAAAATACAGATATATTATATTTTTTTAGAGATTTCTAAATTATCTTCAACAATTAAAAAGTTGAGCTTCAAAAACGTCTGTAATAAATTGCATGTGATTTTGATTGCGTTTGTGTTTTATTGCTAATCATTAACCTTTTTTGAGCATCAATAATATATAGCTCCTTCAATGAAACACATAGCATCTATCTGAAATATCACTTAAATATACTAGATATATGTGAAAAGAATGATCTAAGAACATTTAAATCAACACAGTCAGATTTTAATGTTTCTCTTGCTTTTATAGAAGAAGATGATGTGACACAAAAACATTTGGAAAAAACAGAAGTCCTAGTGGCAGCTAAAAAGTGAGTTCTGAAAAATGATAAGCAGTTTATTGACTTCTATTCATCTAAAGGCATGGGATTACTAGAGTTTAAATATATTTATTTTTTAAAACTTCTGTTGTAGTTGATGTTATGCTTAAAGAGTAAAGAAAAAACCTATGGATAAAATTGAACGAGAGATGTTCGTTGAAATTTACTGCTATTTACTTGCCATGTTTAAATAATAACTAAAGTTGATTTAGCATATTGAGACTGGAGCTGACTACTGAAGATGTTTTGATTAGAAATAAACTGGATTTCAGTTAATAATTACATGTTATCATATACTCTTTTATTGTTATCAGTGGGAGTTGGATATATCTGAAGATAATTTATCTAATGAATTTAGGGATTGTTGTGTACTTAGTGTTTAGAGATGTATATTCTCAATTCTAGTACTTAAGTAAATATCAATTTAGATAGGAAAAGTTATGATTGTCATAAACAGGTTGGACACAATTTTTTTTTTATTTAGATTATCTTCAAACTTACACCACCATTTTAGCTTGTCATCTGTATATTCACATTACCTTCCCAACACTGGAATTCCAGAAGTGACAACTTGTCATTCAAAAAATGCTGTAACAGTGGATTACATTTTCTATTCAACAGAAAAGGAAGCTATTAACACACAGCAAGGTAAAAAAGGTATATCTACTAATGTTTTCACCACAGAAGCATAATGGTTAGTTATTTTTTAATAACTCAGCTAGAAAAAAAAAGGTTCTGGGTTTAGATATTAAGTAATTAAAAATTTGACAGGGATTGTTCATTTATATTACTTGTCTGTTCATTTTTGGTTTAATTACATACGGTTAGGTAGGTTATAGAGAATTGCAAAACAGATGATCATTTTGGTTTCTTCTTTACCACATATGAGGAAAATAAAGGCAGGGGTTAGGTGAAGATAGGGTTGAGTATTCCTGGGAGAGGTCATAGAGAAAACAGGTTTAAAGGGAAGAGGGAATTAGAGTTTGCTAAGTACCAATTTATTAAAGTACTTTGTAATGGGTTAGAGAATCAATAACAATGGTGACTGTTGAGGTAACGTGAACCATAATGGTGGGCATGAGAGGAAGGTTATGGTCAATTTGAGTGTTACACTGGTACCATGAAGGTATGAAAAGAAAAAGAGGAGGGCCTCCCAATATATTGAATGGGTGTTTTCTGAAGAATTTATGGAAGGAGATGGAAATAAATTGCATATGATGAGAAAACTTAGAAATCTGTACCAGCAGAAAGCATATCTACATTGATGATATGACAGATCCATCAGAGCATTGAAACCATGAATCATATTTTATGTGGGAAGAAATCTTTATACTCTGCATTGCATAGACAACATCATCTGTAGTATTATGTTCACTTCTAGGTGTCACATTTTAAGTTGCACATTAACGTGCTCAGAAGAAACTAACAAAGATAGTTAAGTAGTGGTGAGGAAGTGTTCTTAAATCTTGTCATATGAGGAGTAGGACCTAATATGTTTAGCTTAGAGAAGATGAGATTGTCTTCACATATTTGAAAGATTGTCATATGGAAAAGCAGTTAAACTAATTCTTTGTATCTCTAGAAGGCAGTCACATCTGGGTGGGAAGGAAGCAGATTCAATTCATTGTGAGGAATAATTTTCTAATGTTGAGATATGTCCAAAAATACCACAGTCTGCTTTCTAAGGCAGTCGTTCTCCATCAGTAAATGTGTTCATCTAGAGAAGTATCCAACCACTTTTCAGGACTGTGGAGGAGGGGGCTGGATTAAGGAAATTCTAAATCCCCTTCTACCTGTATTGAATCTATAGAATAACTATTGCATTTTAAACCATTGCCTGTCCAGATAGGTAGCCATTCATTCTAAAGATTTTGGTCCAGCTCTCTCTGTGTCTTCCTTTTTCATTCTGTGTGACTGTTGTTGAACTCTGTTGTTAGCATTGGCGCTTCTCTGCTCTCTGGTTGCTCTGTCCTCCTTTTTCATTCTGTGTGACTGTTGTTGAACTCTGTTGTTAGCATTGGCGCTTCTCTGCTCTCTGGTTGCTCTGTCCTCCTTTGGTTTTATGGGCCTTGCCACTTCGACAGAATGCCACTAGGTGGCGGAAGAGGATTGTGGCATAAAATTCCGCAACTCAGGAATAAAGAAAATGATTTGTATTACTAAACTTGGTGTTGTGGAATCACAGAATGGTTAATGATTGACATTTTTATGTTGTCCATCTTAAATGACTCTTTTTAAAAATTTCCTATGTATAAGTATTCTGTACTAAAGATTATTTGCAGAGCCTGTTATAGGAAAAACTTTAAGATCATAGGAGCATGAGATATAATTAGTTATTTTAATAATTACCCAGTAATAATATTTTATTAATACTTGAGGAATTCATTATGTTGATCTTCTGGTGTGTCTCAAATTTTAGTCGTGTCTCAAATTGCACTTGTCTCTGTTACTAAAATATTAGGGTTGTTTAGGATGTGAAATAGTTCATAATTTTATGCATTCTGATCAGTTGTTTTTTTTCTTATGTAGGAACAGAAGTTGCTTTGGTTGGTGGCTTGAAACTTCTAGGAAGACTGTCACTTCTTACAGAAGAAGACTTATGGACTGTTAATGGACTTCCTAATGAAAATAATTCTTCAGATCATCTGCCTTTATTGGCCAAGTTCAGGCTTGAACTCTGACACTATTTCTTTCATGCAGTCTTCTTCCTTATTATTCCATTCAAGGAATAACAGTTTGCATGCTGATTTTGTGTGTATAGTTTCTACAGACTTGGTGTTAAGTGATTATAGTAATTTGTGATTTAACAAAATATAGATCTAAAGTTTTACATTAATGTCCTTTTTTTATAAACTATTTGCCAGACTAGTAAGAAAATGGCATTTTTTTTCAGAGATGTAAATAGTTTTTATTGTAAATTTCAGTAAAATTGACTAGTTCTTAAAAACAATTCACTTTCTTTAGTTGTTTTAGTAAAAAAATCGTACACATTTGAAGCAAGTTTGATTTGGGCTCAAGGTCACTTTCCTTTAATTTTGGTGAGCAGTGTTCTTTCAGACTACAACTAGCTACCTTTCCAGGTGCCCTTAGTTTTATCGAAAGGATCCCATAATTATAGAGTACTAATTAGTTCAAGTCTGAAATTGTTGTGTGGGGAAATTATATTTACAGATGTCTGAAAAAGCATGTTACACAGCTTTTTAGAAAGGACTTGAAATTATTTTTTTCTTAAAAATGCAAAATCTGATTCTTTTATTATCATTCTTAGTCTTCAGTATGCCTTGTTTTGCTGAGGAATGATTGGGAAAACTCTTAAAAGGACCAATTGCCATACAGGTGTTCATTCTTTTAGGCCAGGGGTGGGGAACCTGTGGCCTTCTAGGTCCCTTGGGTTTGGTTTTTTGACTGAGTCCAAGTTTTTATAGAACAAATCCTTTTATTAAGGAGATTTGTTCTTTGAAGTTTGGATTCAGTCAGTTGAGGACCTAGAGGGCCACATGTGGCCTTGAGGCTGTAGGTTCCCCACCCCTGTTTTAGGCCCATCTCTGGAACAGAATAGTCATCCTCAGACCAAACAGAGCAAGGCTGCAGGCTACTTAACTGCTCTTTTGCTGTTCCAGGCTTTCTTCTGTCCTAGTCACTCTCAGGGAAGGATCAGCCCATTCCCTCTTCTCTTTTTAGGAGGAACACTTGTTTTTATTCAACTAACTCAACATTCAGTAGACATTCGTTTCACTAGCAGAATTGCAGCTTCTGCTTTCAGCAGATACTGTTGTAGCTACTGAACAGGTTGCATTTTCTTACTGCTGCCTGAGAAACTTGAGGAAACCTGTGGATCTGTGGGTGGTGAAAACTTTGTGACCTAATAATTTTTCATTGCTATTTTTAATTACTTTAGTTGTTGTTTACTCATTTATTTCCAAGTTCTTGGTTGGGTTTTTTTTGGTTGGTTTTTTTTTTGGATGAACCATACATCTTTAAAAAAAAAAAGCCATGTTTACTGCATATATTTTTGGATTAGATCAAATGAATACAGAAAATAGTTTCCTAGGACTTTTGAATTCAAATGAAACTATACATACACACACACACACACACACACACACACATACACACACGTGTGTATATATATATATATATATGTATATATAGTATGTATGTATGTATGTATAGCCATTGAGAAGAAAATCTCCTTGTTTGAGAATCTGAATCAAAAGACCTGTACTTTTTTTTAAAAAATTGGTTCTTTTAGTCTTATTTTTATGGCTTTCTTTTTTATCATTACCTTCATTTTCAAATATATCTTTTCTCACTCCCATACCCCCTGAAGAATACCTTGTAACAAAAATTGAAAAAGAAATTCCAGCAGAACCAATCAACACAACCACAAGATCCTATTCTTTTATATTAAGTAGTGTTTTGTAGTTGTTATAAAAATGAGTTAACAAAGAATTTCCTTTATATAGGATACTTCTGCCAAAAGATGAAAGCGCAGTAGGGAAAAAGTTAATGCTCTTAAAAACCACTTGGTTCAATTAGTTTTTAAAAATAAGCTAAAAGATATACCCAACAGAAGTAGGCCTTAGGGAATCTTTGGTATATGATGGGTTTGCTCAGTAGAAATTTTACCAAACTACTACTTGTTCATGTTTATAAATTTATTGGGTTTTGAAGTAATTATTAACTGCATTTCTTAGGGTTTTCTACATTTCTTTTGTGCTGTCAACTTCAGAGCACTACTGAGATACTCCATATAATGCAAGTTAAATACAGTAAGTATTAAATCAGAGTGACATCAGAATCTCATTTTGGTTTTGGGAAAAAATAATGGAAATGAATCACTGATTGTGACTGTATATGAATGAACTCACAAGGACCTCTTAATAGATTTCTTGCTATTTTGCTATCAAGTTAATCATAACTCAAACTGTGATAATACAACTTTAAATGTTCTTCAAAATAACGTGGCTTTAGGCATTTTTTCATATAATACTTTACTTTGGCAGATTTAAGATACAGAATTGCACTTAGCTTTAGTATCACTGCAGAATGAACTAACTCCTATTTTTGGACTCAAGCCAAAAGCTCTCAATAACATTCTCATTAATTATTTGAACTTGAGTAGGAAGAACTAATTATCTACTTTTCTTTATTGTCCTGACTCTTTTGGTAAATGGACATTTCAGCTCCTAGAAATTGGACCTTGTCTCCACCAGCTAATAGCAGCAAACCCTGATAATACTGAAACAAAATCCTACTAGATTGTTTCTGGTTCTATATGCTTCATTAAAAAGAAGAGACAATGAAACACAGTGTACAGTTTTTAAGTGAAGAGGAAAGGCATGGCTTGAAGAAAATGTTTAGGCTTTTACCTTTGGGTATCAGGATATTGTACATGTCAATTAAAAATTAACAATAGTCTTCATTCTTAATGATTGGCTGTCTCACTAAAAACAACTTAGATAACCTGTTGAACTATATTGTGCCCCAGACTGAAAGGTCAGTGGTTTTTAAGGGGTCTGTGGACACCATAGTTGTACTCTTAACACGTGTTTAGTGTTAAGGGAAAGTATGGACTTTGTGAATGTAGTAGACCAGGGAGCCTTCGCAGGACCCCATTATTCTCTTGCCCTCTCAGCTTTTAAGATATAATATGATGCCAAATGATAGGTGAACTATTGGAATATTTAGTTGGAAAGATGACTTGCATGTAAAGAGGAGGTAAGATGGATAAAAGTACATGATAAAGAAGTTTGAGAGTTGACAGGATATTTGAGTTTTACTTGAAGCTTAAAGGATAGTGAATTATGCTCTGCAGTTAGACAAAAACAAATCACGCCAGTTCACATTTTTATAAGAACTAAACCCCTGAACTTCCAAGACATTTTTATTAAAGTTCCATGCTGTGTAGAAACATACAAGTGATAATAGAAGCAAAACCTGAAACATGCACCTGTCTGGTATTCCCTAAAATACCATTGTACAGGTTTTCATATACCTAGAAAAATATTCACTGAAACAATCACAGTTTTTCTTAAGTATTAAAAAATGTGTTTGCCAGAACAAAGTCCAAGAGAATAAACAAGATTCTGATTGTACTTAAAAAAAATAATACAAGTTTTCATATGGCTATACAGTTTATAAAACATCAGGTGTAAGAAGACTGAATTAAATTTTAAAAGCTTTATTTACCAGTATTAATAACATTTTTTAAGAAATAATTGACTTAGAAAAAGTGAAGTACACATAATTTTAGAATAGAAAATACTAAATATCACTTATTGAAATCAAGTGCACTCAAAACAGCACAAACCATACTTAAAGTCAGGGTTTCCGATACACGTTGAAACTTTACATGTATTTCCATGATACGATTTGATAAATTTCTCTCTGGATTAATAATTTGTTTTGTTTATAAGATTACAAAGCCTTGAGAAAGATATTTTGCCATACCTTAGGCTGTAGGCAATTAAATAAAACTTGATCAATTTGAGGTAAAACAACATGATTTTTCTTACCATTTTAATGTTTTCTAAATGTAAATTAATTTCATCTTTGATCTTGGAATATCAGTACATACAGGTTTGGTGGTTTAAGCTATTGAGACTTGTGCTTTGTTCAAGCCTCATTCCATAACTCATAAAAGGAAAACATGTAAGTTCAATCCAACCTATTTCTGAATTGCCTCTTTTAGAAAAGAGCAGAATACAATAGAAAATCACAGTGATATATTGATTTAAGATACGCTGCTGATTAAAGAATATTTTAAATGTATGTACTACTTACACATTTACATGACTACTTAGCCCTTACTTTGGGGGAGTGGATCTCCAAAGTAAGGAATGAATGTGGAGGACATAATTTATCAATTGACTAATTAAACAAGTTGGCAGTTTTAAGGATTTCATATCAGTACATTAGAATCAGAATACATTCTTGTTTGTTTTTTTCCCTTCTATCACAAATGATAGGCTGTGCCACAATTTGGAATTGCTTCATACCCCTCTTAAGATGAGTTGACGCTTTAACAATGTTAATAAATCTCATTATAAACTCAAGAAGAATGGCTTGCAACTTATTAAAAAGCATATACTCACCATCCTACAAACCTTCAAATGATATTGATGAATATACAAAAACAGTTGTGCAAATATGAGGTGCCAGTTCTACAGCATTGTTTATGATGTAGTTACTGATGACTATCATCTGAATTTCAAGGGCCATTGGGGCCATAAACTTGTCTTTTAAAAGGTATAGAAGAGTAACATTTTAAGATCTTTGACCTAATAGGTAATTTAGAAGAATGTGTGGTTTTATTTTGCTGGCTCTAGTGCTTTTTAATAATGGTAAGTTTTATAATTATCTCATGCCATGTGATTTAGCCTTCCTAGTCAATAATTGCCATTAATTCCAATTTATTTAAAGTAATCTTATTTGTACGTTAATGAATATAAGGAATATATTAATTTCTATGGCATTCTCCAAGTCATAATCAAAGTTTATGTTGATAAAGGATAGACAGGTTCTCATTTTACCTACTTTCTTACTCTTCTGGCCAAATGAAAGAAAGCAGGAGGGGAAAAAAGCCTTTTACTAAAAAATAAGTTTTGTCTTCTACCTTTTACAACAGCAAAATCCATTTTTAGCTTTGACCTACTAGTATTGTATGTAAGTTATAACAAATTACTTAGAAATACTCTGTAAGTCAGTGTGCTTCAAAAACTATACTCTGTAGCCAGAAGTTACATGGTAATCCTGATCTTAAGGCCAGAAGTTAGTGGATAGTGCTGAATTTAATGGATAAATGTAGCACTATCAGGTGTTTTGCTGTACTGGAACATAAATGCTTAGCAAATATTCTTCATTTTTATCCTCAAAGGATTTTTTAATTATATTCCTAAATTCATTCTACTTTGAGTAAATAGATGGAATGGTATTTATGAGCAAGGGTGACAAAAGATCACATTGTCATGTCTGGTCTTAATATAAGACATCAGGAAAAATCTGTGCATTTAACAGCAGTAAATCCTTTGGAGACAAGGCCTGGCTCAGTATCCAAATTAGATAAAACATGAAAAGAGAGGTCAAATGGTGCTCAAACCCATTAATTCATTTTTGGCCTTGGCCTGCTAAGAATATATGCCACTGTCAGAGACAATCCTAACAGCACCAACTCTACCTCAAAGAGCTCCCAGACACATGGGCTTTTTGCTGGAATCTATAACGTTAGTGACAGAAAATAGAACAGTGTTTTTTGTTTTTTTTTAACCCATCTGTCACGGAATGCCTTTAAGGAAGAGAGACAGGATAGTCCTGGAGATGGTTTCCAGTGATGCTAGTAGAGTTCCATTGCTTTTGAAGAAAATACGTGCATATAATAATACTTTAAATTTCAATATAGGCATGCATGATGAGAGCGTCTGAATACAAGGAAATCCCTACTATATAAATGTTAGGGAAACAATACAAATCAATAACCAGAAAAATTTAAATACCATCAAGTTTGCATATCTGTCAGGTATTGAGGTAATATAAATGCTTTTAAAAACCACACCCACCTCTGCTTCAGTTATTGCTGAATATTGCTAATACTGATCATGAGTTAACCCTTCTGTGTGTGCTAGTACTGTCCAAACACCAAAAAAGGGAGAAGAGACTTCATAAACTTGTGTCTAACATTACCAATGTAGCACAGCATTCAGCGCCAGTTAAAGAAAAGAGAGATAAATTATATGGATCCACCATTGAAGTAGTTGTCCTCTTGTTTTGGAGTAAAGGAGATAGTTCAGCCCCAGGTAGGGCTTATTATAATCATAATTTTTTTTTTTGTCTTTTCATGGTTGCCACTTGATAAGTTTTTTTTTTAAAGTATATATCATCACCCACTTATACTATTTCTAGGCGACTCCTTAAAAATAAAATTCACAGAATCTTGATAAAGAGTTGCAAATCCTCCTGAAGATGCCATGTGCTGGGTAAAGTGCAGACAGAAGCACCGCTGGCCATTATGGCTTAGTTAAATTCGAATCTGATAGCCTACTTCATTCAGAGTACTGAGGTCTGCCACCTTCTTATTTGGGAGTGCAGGCCTGAGAATAAAAGAAGGAAGGGGGAGAAAGGTAGTCAGCATCTTTGAACAGGGCTTTGTTCTTGAGGCCCTCAGGCTCTTATCTACAGTGCTTTGTATTTGGGGGACATACTTTCAGTGTCAAGTTACAATTTTCAAAGTTGATTATCCTACTTCTCCTAAGACTTGTCATACTAGCTAAAGCATAGCTCTGGCTCAACGCCTTGTAAAACCCTTAATAATAAAATAGATTTTTGTGAAAATTACAGAAAGAGCCAAATTTTCCTTGGGAAAATGAACATGACTTTCTGATATTCCTGATGTGGTTTAGGGGAACAACAAAAAGAGAAAGAAAAGGGCTGTATATGTATCAGATGTTTTTATCATTGAGGCAAGGTTAATTTTCTACATTTACAAACAAAACCAAAGTGAACGCTTTATATGAAACCATGAGGGGAAAATATGGTACTATGAGCTTACCTACTGTTTGAAAAATCATGTGCTCATTACCCCCACTGCAACATAAACTCATAAGTAAGAATGGACCAATAGAGAAATTTAAAAAGAAATACAATTTTCATTGTGCTCCTCTCTAATGCTCATATACTGAGCAGAATGTGCATTGAGAAAGCACATGAGATTGGAAGAATATTTATTTGATGATCTACCACCTCTCCTTCCTAAAAAGATTAATCCCTTCCTGCTATTTAGACCAAACCTCAGCATTCCTACCATTGTCCAACTAAAAGATACTGAGGCCCCTTTCACTCACTTTCTAATTCTTTGGTAAAAGACTTCAAGGCCTAATACAAAATTTTCCATGAATTTTGTTAATTGATTCTATTTCGGTGGATTCTGTATTTTTCCTGGGAGGATGAAAAGAAATTTTCCAGTTGTACATGAACCTTGTGTTTTTTTCACAAGTGCTAAAGGAAGCCCAAAATGAAAGTGTGATACTGTTAAAGTTTCTTGATTAATACCTTTTAAGGTATTCTTTCTTACAGTGAATGGTTTTCTCTGGTATTAACACGTGTGATGCAATTTCACATTGATGGAACTAGAAATAGGTAAGCAGTCAGGCCTCATCACTGCCTGATCCAAAGGTAATAGCTGACAGTCTTTGGACTTGTAGAAGTAAAATCTTACCTGTCCACTGAAAGATTGGGGAAGGAAGAGGTAGGATAACTTGTCAACAATTTGTGTTCTCCTTATCCTTCAAAATAACTAAAAAATTCACTCCCTTGGAAAATATTCCTAACTTAGCCACATCCTGTCTACTTTTCCATTTTGTTACAATAACCTTTATTTATTGACATGTTACATAGTATCAGCTTCATGTGTTTGTTATTAACCACCCTACCTCACGAGGTTGTTGAAAAAATCAAATGAGATTGAATATGAAAATGCTTGATAAATTGTAATGTGCCTTGTGAGAGTCACAGATGTCTATTACACTTCACGTTAAAAAAAAAAAAGTGGCCTAGGGACATGCCAATAATAGGACATCAGCTTCCAATTTTTTTCTCCAGCAGCAGAGATCTGCTAGTATTAACCAAGGTACACCTGTAATGTATTTATTTCTTAATCAGATATAAATGGCCTTTGTATTAATGTTTTGAATTATCTAAACCTCCAGCTCCCTTCCATTAACTTAGATGACAGCTGACCATATTTCAAAGCTGTTCATTAACATTGTGAATTAGTGTCAATACAAAAATAAACACATTTTTGGCAAGTCCTTTATAATTTACTCCAGTAAGGACAATTGACTGTCTTTTAAATTACTCAGATTTGGGGGTCTGAGTATTACATTGAGATTACTGTCCTTAATGCTTTTCCTTAATAAGGCAACTTGTGACCTTAAACTATACAGGAGCTATGATGTCTCTTCATCTCATTTATAAACACATGCTTGGTTTTCTTTGTGATTCAGCATAAGATTCCTTATAGGCCTATCGATTTGTTCACTTCTCCTGTTGAACTTTCACATACAGTGGGAAAGGCATATTCATTTTTATGGCACCTACTATGTGCCAGGCACTGTATGTATGCTAAGCACTTTTTATAAATATCTCATTTGATCCTCACAACAATCCTGAGGGGTAGGTGCTATTTTATCCCCATTTTAAGGTTGAAACTGAGGCAAACAGAAGTTAAGTGATTTGCACAGGACCACATAGGTAGACAGTGTCTGAGGCCAGATTTGAACTTGGATCTTACTAACTCCAGGGCCCAGCACTCTATCCAGTGCATCACCAGCTGCCTGGAATGTGCTAACTTTCCTTTGACCAGTCTCTGTCAAACTCTACCTATAGTTTGTCTATTAAATCCTATAAGTAATGTGAAGACACCTAAACAGTTCTGAAAATAATTTTCCAAGTGTCCTCTGCTCAGTGCTGGCCCTAGGCACAATCGTAAAGTACATAGAATCCCTGTTTGGAATCTCAGCCTCCACTGTCTAACCTATCTCAAGCCTTTGTTAATGGAGGTTTTTTTTGCCACCCAATACTCCTAAGCTCCTCTCTCCCCAGCCTAAGGAAAACTAGTTGTCAAGAAATGGTCTGAGAGTCATTTTACAATTCAATGTAAATTGATATGGTTTTATGTAGCTGTGTAGCTGTCTCATAGGTAACTTTCTTTGAGTCAAAGAAATGAAATCTATTGATAAAATTTCAAGCATAAGAAATAATATAGGAGGCTCAGTTATTTTGCTTGGCAGGGAAGTCTTTTGGCACCCCTCAAGTTACAACAGAAAAGTAGCAGTGCCCCAGGGCTTCCAGATAAGTCGGATGCTGGTTCTACCTCCCATTACACTGGGAGCTCCCCCAGGGCAGTTGTGGTCCCTTTCCTCTTGATCCTTCCCAGGGTTTGTATTATGATGACTGCCCACAAAGGATAGTTACTGCCTGGCTAATTGTAGCAGTATGGCTTATATTTGACTACTTCTAATGCTGTCTCTGTGGGGGAAGTTAAAGTGATATTAGTGATGATTAATCACAAAATTCATTGGTAATGAAATATTTTTCTTTCCTAGCTATAGCACCTATAGTTTCCTTGATGAGGGGGGGAAGTTGTGTTATGACAGATTGCCACTGCAGGTGAGGCTCTGTCCAAATTGAGACAAGTTGCTCTTCAATTCTTGCCATCTAATTTTGCTAGGCTAAACCTGAGAGTAAACTATTATGCATGAAGGTTTCCTCTAGTTCCTCCCTTAAATATAATTAGAAAGATTACAAATAGATTTATTTTTAAGAATCACAAGTGTTGAGATGATGATTTTAACTGGGGTTGTACTTAGCCAAGAACCTTTCATTAGATCCAGAGTATTTTTAGGGATCTGTCTGAATATCCTTTTCCCAAACCCTTTCTCCACCCTCACCCTCTGAAAGGGGGGAGTGGAATCAGAGATTTCTTGTGTCTTATGTTCCTGGGAGAAATAGGAGAAAACTGCCTCTTAAACTAATTTTCCTTTTACTCATTTTATTTGGAGACAAGGGCAAAGGAGTCTTCATTTTTTCTCTTGCTGCATGATAAGCTGAACAGTTTTGGGGTATTTGTAGTACTAGAAGTAGCTGGCTGAAAGGAGAGCAGACAGAAGGCAACCATTTCTAAACAAGTTGAACAATCTCTGCCCTGCCTTCTGCTGTGGTGAAGACATCACAAAGGCAATCACCCTAGGGTGAACTAGGATAAAATATCACTGTGATCTGGCCTCTCCTTGGCCAGTTCCTCATCTAGCTTAAACCTACTGCTACCATTACAATGGATTGGACTATTCCAGCCCTAAAATTCTTTGATTCTGAAACATCAGATACAGATACAGTTTGTCCTAGGATACGAGTGGGGACTGAACAGGTGTTCTTAGGTATGCCATCCTATCATGATTTTTTCTAGAGAGAAAAAGCACACTGGCAAATGAAATAATATAAGTAAAACACTTTGCAAACCTTAGTAAAGTTATCATTATTATTACACTCTGGGCTAGCTTCAGACTGAGGAGACTTGGGAGAAAAATAAGGATTTTGAGCATCAAAGAAGCTTCAGAACTAGGAAGTTATATCAGGGATACCTCTGATCACATTCACATTTCCTGTTTCTAGGTTGGGGTGGGATGAGACAAGTTGATAAAGTGAAGATGAAGTAATTTTAGGGTAAGGAGGTAACTATAAGAATTCTAGCTTCCTCATCCCTACCTCCCACCGCTATTAATCCTCCTTTTTTGCAACTATGCCTGAGATAATTTTTTAACCCTCTGGTTGCTATCTAATTGGAATGATTCATTTTACTGAAAAGTCTGGGGAAATTTTTATGGTTCTATTTTCAGGGAATTGGGGAGAGAGGCCTTTGTAGAGCTATAAGGTAAGTTTCTCACAGGTAACCTTTTAGCCCTTGCTGTTCATCAAGGGGAACAGATTAAACCAAAGATATTATCAGTAATAGAAAACCAGACTGTGGTCCCAACCCTAGCCCCTCTTTTCTTGTTGGGTCCAATGGGAAATTGGCAATGGCTAAGTTCTAAATTTAAAATGTTTTATGCTTTTGGGGGGAGGGACAGTGCAAAGAGCTGCCTCAACTGGGGCAGATGCCTGGTGAGGGAGATTTCATTCACATTAGTCACTCTCATTGAAAGGCAACCTCCTTCCCTCACATTCCTTACCCCCTATGATTACAGGCACAATAGGCAGCTAACCAGCTGTTAAGGCCAACAGCTGAAGTTGCTATGTAAACAGACAGGCTTTAGCCAGGCCAGGTTTGGCCTCTGTCATATTCCCCAATCTTTGTCTCTTCAGCTTGTCAGTAGTTCAGATGGCAAGTTCTGATTAGAGTTATCGGATTGCATACCAACTTTTATGGCCAGACTCAGGGTTCAGCTTACTCCTCTCTTCAACTTGTTACTGTGAACCACCTTTATAGCATGGTACTGAATGGTAGTGAGTCCTTTGGGCCCTTCTGATACTCATTGTCCCTCCATCCTCACTTGACCCCTCAACCATTTAACCAGCCAGAGCTTGGCAGAGATTC